GAACACACTTGCCCGAAAAAGTGCGGGGGACGAATTTACGTGATAGCGTAATCTACGCCCCTGGTATATATACCCACACTATTCTGTGAATGGGGTTTTCTGAGACCGAGAGGATAAGCTTCTCTTGTATGACAGACAAAAGACCAAGAGACCAAGGTAAAAGGATGCTTTCATGTACAACAGAAAACAGATTTAACGGAGATTGTCATAGCAGGTGATATGCATTCCTACACTAATTCTGACAGTCCATGTTTTTTTTTTTTTCATCACTGTTGTTGTAATGTATTGGGAAGCCAGAATGCGCATCCATCAACAGAAACATACAATAGCCGAACCCTGTTTGTTTTACGTGTTATTTATAGCAAACCATATTTCAGATGCGTTGTCAGATTTAAGTCCTAGTGCGTGCCGAACCATGTGTGGAGAACTGTACGGTTCGATTTTTTTCTGCGATCCGTTCCACCCCTAATTGGAAGTGTAATTTATTTTTTTTATTTTGACTCAAGTCCCATTCGTTTACATGGAGAGGGCGGGGTTTATGACCTATACTGCAGCCAGCCACCAGGGGGCGATAAAAGAGCCCGCAGCTTCACTTTTCAGGACGTGTGAAACAGCAGCCGACGCATCACGAGGAAAAAGCAAGCACATCCAGCGTAACGCCAGAGGGGACCCCCTAGGGGGGATGCAGATATAATGTTCCATGTTATATTAATAATGACATTTCCGATTGTTCAAATGGTCAGCTGTCGGGGGGCCCTCAATTGCCTGCCCTATTGCTACGCCTCTGAGAATTTCTACACACAAAAAAGAAAAGCCCTGCCCTGCATGAACATGCACCGTAATGAACAGAGTGGCTTTTCATGATGGATTTCATATCTATAAGATGGATTTCTGTGTGCGAGGTTACAAACGTATGTTCCTTTTTCTACGTGCGTTTCTCAAAAATGCACTTAACACCAACGCGCAAGTACGTTAAAGGGATCGGGTCTTATCAGGTCCATTTGGAAAAAAGCACATTTATTTCAAATTATCCGAGACCCGAGGCAACTAATACCGAGTCCAAACCATTTCCGAGGCACTCGTCAAAGTTTTGGACCCAAACCCGCTCGGGTCGGACCTCTGGTTTTCGGATCTAAGTGGCCCCATGAAGACCTCTATGCAGTACTACAGTGTCACATGATCTAAAATTTCTACTGGTTGCCAAATTTCTACTAGTTTATTGTGTCTACCTGTATATCGCCCACCCCTAATATGGACACTCAATTCCAGATCTATAGGAAAATTCTGTAGAATTTTCCAATTTTATTTATATTTTAATTTAATTTGCATTTAATTTATATATATATATATATATTTTTTTTTCATTCATTCATTCATTACCTGTCAGTTTGTGTAGAGGGTTTAGATGACAGTTGCTCTTGACTCTCAGTTTCCAAGGTTTCTTCATTCGATTCCTGGACTATGTCTTCTTTTTGAGGCAGCTTTTCCACCTCCATGACATCAGCATTTATTTCATTCTCAACTTTCAGACTTCCAGAGTCCTTCACTAGACCATTTTCTATGGCACGAGAGAGTCCATTGGTAATATCCACATCTGGACATGAAGCTTCCAGTGAATGTTCCTGAGTTTGAGAAACTTCAGATGTCACTTGCTTCTGTTCTGCCATCTCAGAATGAGTATCCTCTGAACGTTTGTCCTCTACTTCATCTGTTTGCTCAATGATGGGTTCCTCAGCAGTCACTTCAGCTACACTTTTCTCAATAACATCCAACTCATTAGACTGACCTAAAAAGCATGAGTCAGGTTCTGTGCTGCTGTTGTCCATCAGTGAATTATCCCCAGTGTCATTGAGACCAGTCTCTTCATGTGTCACTTCATTGGTGTCATTCAGATTTAGTTCCTCAGTTTGGATAATTTCCTTCTCAACTACATTCATCTCCACGTGTGTTTCTGGCTCTGGTTGGGAGGAGTTCTTCTCAGATTCTACCCGAGCAAGCGCAGTTGCCTCTTGAACAGGTGCTTCCTTAACAGGTGTCTCCATAGCAGGTGCGACTGTTGAGTCTGAACTTGTTGCGGTAGCACCTGCATTATCTGTCAGAGCAGCTGTGATGTCTACCTCTTCAACTGACCCGTGCTGAGCCTCTATCTCCCCTTTCACTGAGGCAACGTTCTCCGCAAGTGCTTCGTCTTGAGGTGCTTCTGAGACTTCAGCTGCAATGTTTTGGATTTCTTCAGTGATTTCAGTCTCTGTTTTTGGTGGTTCTGTAGCTAAGATTATAGTTTCTGTTGGAGCCGTTTCAGGAGAAACATTGGGATTAACTTCAACAGCAAGAGAGACTTCAGTGTGTAATAGTGATATTGTTGTAGAGTAAGAGTTCTGTGGTTTAAGAATTTGAGACTTTGAATTTGGCTGTTTGGTTATAACCGATTCACCCAGCTGTGGTTTTGTTTCATCTTCATGCCTGTCGAGAGATGTGAAATGCATTTAAGTCAAATGTGGATGTTATGGAAGGAACATGAAAAACAGGATTTACTAGTTTAATGTACAGCACTCAGACGTTCACAGTGCAAAGTTCTCTTTAGCCAATATGTGTAAACTAAGGTGAAAAACTAGTTGCAAATGTCAATAATTCAGAATTAGTTGGTACCGTCGTCAGTATTATGAGGACATAACCATATAACTTTTGCATTTACATATAAATACCTATTCAGAATTAAACAACTTGACCCATCCAAATGAACAACAGCGCAAACTGCACCAAGTATGTTTAGTTTAGCCAATTAAAACAGAAGTCAATTACATATAGAAGTCTTAAAGGAACACTCCACTATTTTTGAAAATAGGCTAATTTTCCAACTCCCCTAGAGTTAAACAGTTGAGTTTTACCGTTTTCGAATCCATTCAGCCGATCTCCGGGTCTGGCGGTAGCACTTTTAGCTGTAGCTTAGCATATATCATTGAATCTAAATTAGACCGTTAGCATCTCGCTCAAAAATTACCAAAGAGTTTCTATATTTTTCCTATTTAAAACGTGACTCTTCTGTAGTTACATCGTCTACTAAGAC